AAGTGCGTGAGTGCTCTGCCTTGTTTCCAAGTCATGCACCTTGCCAGGGCCACAGTGGTTGTCTCACCTCCCTCAGGGAGTTCCTGGCAGCTTCCAGTCCATGGTGTTACTTATAGTTGTTCCTGCCCCATCTGATTATATACTCTCTCCTACCTCTTTTACCTCAACTTTAGATTCTGCAGCACAATAATGTTTGTTTCTGCTTCTTCCTACACTATTTCAGTTCAGGATCAGTGGTCCTTCCTTGCATTTTAGTTGCCTGTCTGGAGCATGCTGCACCCTAAGACACAGAAGTCTATGAGATATCTACATGTATGCTGGGTGTGTACCCACTGTATACACAGAGTTGGGCACAACCCTATTTTCCTGCCATATTTACTTCTGAATAAGAAATAACATAAGATTATTCTGTGTTTTCCTAGAATCATCATAGAATGGTTTGGGTTGGAAGGTACCTGTAAAGGTCGTCTAGTCCAATCCCCCCTGCAATAAGCAGGGACATCTTCAACTAGATCAGGTTGCTCAGAGCCCCATCCAACCTTACCTTGAATGTTTCCAGGGATGGGGCATCCACTATCTCTCTGGGAAACCTCTTGCAGTGTTTCAACACCCTCACTGTAAAAAAAGTCTTCCTTATGTCTAGTTTAAATCTATTCTCATTTAAAACCATTACGCTTTGTCGTGTTGCAACAGGCCCTACTAAAAAGTAGGTATGGCAGTGTTAGAGAGAGTGATGTGCATCTGCTATGTGTCCTTGTCAAGACCGAGCTGATTTTGCTTGCAGAAGCAGAAGGGGCAGTCCTTCCCTTCTACCATGGGTGGCTTCTACTTTCAGTTTGTAAAACTGTAGATTTTGTTCTAGTGTCAACATAAGACAACTAATAATATCAAGAAAAATTGTAAGAAACAGGCTTGCTGTGGAAGATGCCTTCTTTTTTGCTGTGATTCATGGCAAAACCAGAGATCACTAAGGTCAAGTTTGGTTTACTAAGCATGGGCATCTGGGGCTGTTTGAGATATGTAAGGCTACTCAGGAGAGATACCTGTGAGGGTGTGGCCAGCAGGACCTATGCAAACCTCAGTCCTTCTGGAGAAGCAGGTGGAGGCCAAGTGGCAAAGCCCCTAAACATAAACCAGCTGTAGAGGTGTGACCAGGAAACGGAATCACATCTTCCTTCTCTGTTGGTGGGAGCAAGAACCAGGCAGACTGAAGGCAGTGGTGACACGTGCTGCAATGCCAGCTCCCTGAGGAGGAAGCTAAGCCTGGCAGGCCAGGTACTTTACTGCAGAAGCAGAATGGTACATAAGGGTGGAACTGATAGCAACTTGATTGTAAGAACAGCTGGGTGTGCCAGCTGAACAGTGAGATAAAACTGTGTGAGTTATGTGGGGTGTCAGATTGCTAGCTTTTGGAGGTGGCAGCCATCGTCACAGTCTTCATTTGTCAAATGCCTCACATGCTGGAGTCTGGGGGCAAGACTGTGGCTCTGTGACTGCTACAATTTTAAAAGCTGGTTTTTACTGGCAGTAGCACAGAGATTCCCCAGGGCTAGACTGCAAAGCTTAAGCTTGCTGGAAAGGGATGATATGAAAATATGTTATGCTCCTATCAAGGAGAATGGAGCTTTCCTTACCACAAATATAGTATACATGCCAGAAGATGAAGATCAGAAGATGAATCACTTCTGAAAGAGTGCCTTACATTTGTTCTGTCTACTTTTCAATGATGAAGCTATTTTGCTTCTCTTGTTTAAGTTTTGTCAGATGCCCCTCATCCACTCAGTGTCTCCCACGTCTTCCCTAAAGAATTTCTTTTCATGCCCAAATTATCAAATCTGCCACACTCACATGGGCATATTGCAAAAAGTTGCTTGAGGCAACCTGTAACCTACTTTGCATGTGGACCTTGCAAAATGTAGAGCTGACAATTCTGCGATTTTATTGAAAAGCCACAAGAACTGTTACGAAATATCATGGGGTCAGCAGATCCCACACATCCATCCAGGGAACCCCATCTGCATCCAGTGCTTGTACTACTGTCTGTTCTGAAGAAGGCTAAATATGGCAGTTAAGGAGCAATGAAATAGTTATATTTCTTGTTAGTTTCAAGATCTAAGAATTCATTATATGTGTTGAGAGACAAGAGTTGCCTAAGTGATAGAAGAGGTGATTTTGCAAGCTTTTCCTCAAGTGGCAGTGTAGGATCTCTTGAGAAGCACAAGATGCTTCTTTTAGAAGTAATCTGCTGCTTTGAGTGAACATGCTTGCTCACATCAGTTGCCCAAATACATATTTTTAGATGTACATCTGCTGCTCAGAGTCATGGAAGAAATTCCTTGTTATGTTGTGCTGTACCAGGATGACTGACGTAGTATGTCCTAAATAATTAGTCTTCCCAGTAAGTGTCAGCCAGTGGCAGAACTAAGACAGACGTATAAGGTGTACTGCTGCTTTTCCTGTGTTGACAGCTCTATGCCAGTTTCTTCATAGCCAGTGTGAGTTCATCTCTGAAGCGTCTGTGATTTCTAGAAAGATAAGCTGGGGAAGATGATTGTCTCTATAGAACTTGGGAAACCTCAGAGCATAAAAAACAAACAGATGTGTGCTGTGAGAGACAGACTAGCAGGATAGCATGACATCTTGCATCTAATGGAAAATAAAAGCAAACAGACCAGAAATGGTTATATTTTCTCATCCCACAATTCAGATACCTGCACATTGGGCAATTCCCCTGAGTTGTATGTTGAAAAGAGTGTGGGCGTTGACTTGGTGTTGCACAGACAGTTCTTCAGCTGTGCTGGTGCAGTGTGTTTCCAATGTACACCCCATTCTTCTGTCCTTAACCTGATGTCCTCCCATCCCTTTGGCCACCAGCCTGTACTTTGAATCTGCTCTGGTTTGGGATTCTGCTCTCCAGAGGGAAGTGGAGAGTGATATGTCTTGAGCGACGAAGCAGGCAACCCTCTCACAGGGTTTATCATAAAAAAAAATTTGCCTACTTTTATCAGAAAGAGTCTAGCACTCAGTTTGGTATAGTTCTTTGAATGTAAAATTAAAAAGTCACGACTGTTTTGGGTTAAAAATTAAAGACCCTTGTGCTTTTCATCTTTTAAGCATTTATCATAATCAAATCTTGTATCAGGGACTTTGGTGATTTCCATGGCTTCCTTTTTCTTTCCTTTCACCACAGATGTAGTAGCAGAGCACCTGCTTTATTTCTTTGTTCAGCTTAACAGTATTTCAGTATTACCAGAGAAATTTTCTCTTGAAATTTTTTTTGCACTGTTTGCAGGATTTTTAAAAAAATTCATAACTAAAATTAAAATAGTACTGTATGTATGTGAGTGTGTAAAGCTATGTATATATATAAGAATATTGCATTGTAACTTGACTGTATAGGCAGAGTCTGTATACATGGTTTGGAAAACATTATCAGCTGTAATTCTTTATGGAACAGTCTTCTAAAATACTTGTTCTGGCTAGTCTTCAGCACAAGCATAAATATGCTGTGATACTATTCTCAGTTAAGATCATCGTCTTTATGAAACAGATTTTAGGGTAATTTCATGTTTAAAAATTGGAGTAAGAAGACATGAGAACTTGCAAAACTTGAGTAAGAAAACTTGCAAAAACATTTATGAAACTAATCGTAGGTATGAAGACGGTTATTTATTCACCAGAATGGAACTAGAAATTCCCCTGAAAGTCAGGTAAACAGAGTTCTTGTATAAAGCCAAAGATCGAGGTCGATTCTTGTTGTCCTCATCATACACATAGAAATGTTGGCAATCAGTGTCCCAATAGATCTCATATTGGAAGTACAGCTCATCTGTAGTAGAAGTGATAAAGAGGACAATTTCTGATGTTGCATTTTATCCTCTCAAAGCTTAGGAAGCTCCGAGTCCGGTGGTTCAATGGGAACACCTGGGAGCTCACAATAAATTATAGCTGGAAAGCCCTCAATCTCTGCCCTATCTGGCAATGTCAAAAATCTCTGCTTCTGAAAAATTAGGTCCTTTGTGTCACATTCAAAGAGCTGCTCGATGAAATTGTTAAAAATATTTCAGATAAAGCTACATTTAAGCTAATGCTAAGAAACAAGAAGTTGGCCTGTGAATAGACTGAATGGCCTGTGAGAAACTAACTGTCAGAAAAGTTAAGGCTTCTGGCTGTCTCTTGTCATTGTACCTGCTCCCTCACTCGAGGTTGGCCTTGCAGAGTCTGCTGGTTATCAGCCCTGCTCAACCTGTGCTGAAGAGGGTGACCATTGATTAGGGGACACCACAGGAGGGGATCATTTGGATTGGTGTCTGCTCCTGGTAGGGTGGTGCTGAGTGAAGGAAGCATTAAACTCTGCCACTGGCACAGCAGGTGAGAAGGGCTGTGCATGTCTTTGGCTTCACTAGATCAACCTAATGTCGTATTTATTTGGTATGGTGGATAAGGTAGATCTGTAAGTTGGGAAAACTAAGGACTGGAAAACCTGAGGTGACAATACATATTATTAATTGGTGGATGGTATGCTTTGATTAGTAATAAGTTTAAGGCCAGAAAGGGTGTTTCTTTTGGCCTGACTGCATTGAATGTGCATGCTGATGGTATTTGTTGTGTGTATTTTTTTACAATTCGTTGGATCTAGCTATTATTGTCTTAGTTTTCGTTATTTAGGAAGTGGGTATGTGATATAATTTAAATTGTCAGATACTGATTTTTTCATCGCTACATGCATTCATTACATGTAACTTCATACTATTTTTCCTTTCCTTTTCATTAAAATCATATGAAGTATGATAGAACTGTGTGAGTTCAGATGTAGAAGTAAATTTTACCTATTACAATTGATTTGGATTTGTAAATTTGTCATGAAAGTGAAAAACTTAGAAAACAATGTTGAGGTATCTGAGGTTTATCTGTATATTAAAAGGTGTGTGCTAATATGAGTGTGAATTCTCAGGTATAAATGAGGATCTTGTATTTAATTTTTGCATTTTTCTATGCAGGTTAGAAAGCATGTGAATGACCTATATGAAGACCTAAGAGATGGACATAACTTGATCTCACTTTTAGAAGTCCTTTCTGGAGACACCTTGGTAAGATTTTAGATCAGAATGCCATGGTTCCAGATTGTTGTTTATGCATTTTTCTCTGTTTGTTAGCTCCTTGTGTATTGACTGCTGGAGATTTCTTTGATATTTTCTGTGATCTGTGACCAGATACCAAAGACACAAGCTGTATTTCTCTTGGTAAAATATGATACTGTGAATTCTGTGGGGGAATGCAATCTGTTCATTTCTTGTGGTCAGAGTGACTTCCTTTCTTAATAGGGTAATGCACTATTTTTTCTGTTCTTTCTTTTTCTTTTCAATTTTTGTTTTAACAAGTATTGGATGCTTAATATCTTTTTGCATTAAAGGGAGTAACTGACAAATAACAAGGATAAAATGTCCCTGAAGTTGTCTAACGTACTCCTCAGGTGTCATTTCTTTTCTTTGTGAGCATTACTTCCCTTGCTTTGTATTTGTTCTCTTCATTATGTTCTTCTTTTCATGCTCTTCTTTTCATTTGTGGTCTGTCTTGTGTTTTTGCTGTCCTGTCTCCCGTCTGTTATATTCATTAGCCAAGAGAGCGAGATTTTTTGAAGACCTTACGGTTGGTGAGTTCAACAGAAGCATGCACAAATGAACAGCATGAGGATGTGGAGGATGAGGATAAGGGGGTAGGTGCCGACCCCCATAACTGTACTAATGTAGTGTTTGAAGTGTGGTGTCTGCTAATGCAAATTCTTAGTTTGGTGTGCTGCATATTGGGCTGTAGAAAGGACAAAAGAAATTGTGTTGGTAAACCAGGATATGTGTGTTTATGATGGAGGTATGGTAAAGACAAACTTTGATTCAGCCTTTTTGTGAACAGCTATCATGAAAATGTTCAAGATTTTTTACTTGTTTTCTTTGATTAACCTGTACAAAACCATGGCACAAATGTGTACTGGACAATGCTTTCAAGATGTTACAAGCTTTTAAAATAATAGATAGGAAATTACAATAATTCCGTTAAACTTGCAAAAGTAATTCAGACAGACTTGAAGGCTCTTCTTAGTGAAGTCAATAGCAAAATATCGATTTGTCTTAATTAGAAGCACCAGTCTACTGTGCCCATGGTGTATGTGACATAATGTTGGATAATATCTTGAAATAAGAAAATTCAGATGTGCAGATATTTGTTAGAATTTACCATATGTATAGTTATTTTTATCAGAGCAGACAAATTAGAAGTTAAATGACAGATTTGTGTAGTAGTTACTAAGAACATGGACAGTTTGCAGAGTTTATCTTTCTTGCGACAAATATCGAATTGTTGTTTCACTATATTTTTTCCATCCAGAAGGGAAATATCTACTTAAAAAGTGTAAAACACCACATGCTTGTTAGTCCAAGTGAGCTGTTTCATGCCTTTTTAGACCTCGCATCATTGGCATTTGCTAAAGCAACTTGCTGTCATAGGGCCTGAGTGCCTCCCTGGCTCCTGTGTGTTGTGTTGCAGTTGTGATTTCAGTGGAATTTGTGTGCTTTTTTCTGGAGTGTAACATAACTCAAAAGGCTGCACTTTTTTAAACAAAACATATTTCCCCTCTGAGATGCTCTACCTAACTATATAGACTGGGATTTATTACACCACCTTTGTTGTGGAAAACCAAGTTCGAGGTCTGCAGTCCTTTGTTCCCTGTGTGGAAGCTAGTTGATAGCAAGGGCTGCAATGCTTGATCCTGAGCTATTGGTGTGAAAAACAGGGGGCTAAATAGAAGATTCTGTAATGGAAATTAAAATTTTGTGTTTCAGTTTTTGCTTCTTATTCAGCTCCATTTTCCCCTGTTTCTTTTTGGCAAGCATCTCATGCTCCACAGTGGGGAAAAAAAAGGCAGTTGAGGAAGGATTGGGCTTATCTGTGTGTATCACAGTGATTATCTGAGGAAATACTCATATTCATGGCTATTCTCTAGCAATTATAGTCCGCTTCAGTTTATTGCTGTGAAAGTTTGTGAAAAATCTGAAATAAGGAAGAATAGAAGGATTTGGATATGATGTTGATGATAAGGTTAACTGCTATCCCATGCTGATCTGTGACAGCTAAGTATGCATTTTCTGTGTGGTTCTTCTTCTTGGTAATTTTACACTAACTGCATGCAGTTTTGCCATTTTTCCATTAACACACCGCTTGTGCTTATTTTACAGTTTTTTTTTCTTGGTGGTTTTGACTTTGTTTTGGGAAGAGTGATTTCATAGTTTTTTTCACACCTTAAAATATTCTACCCAAGTCAAGAGTTTAAACTTACACTCTAGGACTGTATATGTTGTATTATTCTGTTAGGAGGAAGATATGTCTTTATTAGATGCTTTAAATAAATACTTATAGATGTCATAGTGATTATGCAGTCATACCATTAAGTCATGAAGTTGCATACAGAGGTAAGCTTTTCCATCACAGAGTTTTTCAGAGCAATATAAAGGTCCATGGCATTACTTATGTTTTGCTTTGCTTAATACACTGTGAATATTTTATAATAATAAATTGCAGTTTAGTTTCTGTAGGTAGTAGCCCTCTTGGCATTAATAGTACTTTACAGGAAATGGTTATCAGCCTGCATGGATCAAAGTTGCAGCTGGGGACCACTGATCTCTCTTGCTATCTACTGTGCTAAAAAACTTCAACTACAGTTTAAAAAAAAATACTCAAAGCACACTTTTCCACCAAAGGTATTGATTTCATTAAAACTGCAGTGCTTCAAATGTTCTACAAGGTATCTTTTAAATCAGACTGTTCTTTTATCTGATGAGAAAATCTCACAACTATTGTTTTCCAATTTTAGCCCCGAGAAAAAGGTCGGATGCGTTTCCACAGACTCCAGAACGTCCAAATTGCACTTGACTATTTGAAAAAACGCCAGGTATGATGAAAATTAAAAAAAAAAAAAGAAATCATAAAAATTTTGTCACCTGTAGCTAATGAATAAAAAATACATCCTACTTTGTCTTTTATGCATGTTGTGTAATAGCTGCTTGTGTAGGCTTGGCTTTATGTCATACTTGAGATGGATAAGAGAGATGTGGCAAAGGTAACTTTGCACCACCCTGCTCTGAGCAGTAACAACATACTCCGTGTGATATATGGTAATAAAGAGGAGAAAATTATGTGTGAGATCCTAAGGAGCTGCTTATAGTAAATTTAACTGTCTTTCATGCTGCCCAGACACTATCTGGTATGCAGTTTTGTTAAAGGTCTAATTTATAGTGCAAAATGCATATTCAAGGAAATTAGAACGTTGTATAGGAGTTCCTTGTTTTGACAAGGTTTGCTTTGGGAAAACCTTCTCAAACCTCGATCCTGATGAAAGCAAAACTGGTCGTGCAGAAAGGCAGAAGAGTTACCTGGGCTGTGGAAGATTGAGTCCTAATGTCACCTGTATCTCCTTTAAGCCAGACACTTGAAATCCACACTGCGAAGTGGTTTTCTGCTACTGCTTTTAAATTTCTTTTAAATACTTACAGGATTCTTGCTTTCTCCCTTCACAAAACAGCAATTAAAAAAAATATCCAAAATATGGAAGGAAAAACTGTTCCCCCCATCCATCCCATCCCATTCCAATGAACTGGCACTGAAAATCTGCTTTTTGATAGATGATATAAAAAAAAATATTATTTGTTACTTCAAAGGTTTGAAAGAATATGCGTTAGTGAACCATAGCCAGATACTTAGTTTGGTTATAAAACCAGATGTCCTTTTGTATTTTGAGTGAAATTGCAAACTTGTCTTTTGGGTCACTGAGTGGTGTGTGTGTACTGAGAACTCAGTGCCCCTTTGCTAAGTTCAAAGCAAACTTTTCCTGTTAACCTAAGTGAGCCACTGAACAAATAACACTTCAAAGTAAATGAATGGCTACTGAAATGACGATCACAAAGGCATTTTAATGCAGCAAGACCTCAGCACTTGTGCTGCACTGTGCCTTATTTATGCACAACAGACCAGTATGTTAAAGTGCAGGAGATACAGGATCAGATCACCTCCATGTTTATGAACATGTCTGTTGATGGGAACCACAAGACCCCATCACACAGTTGTTGATTGTGATCTGAGGATTTTTGTGTTTTCCTTAGCCTTGTGGTTTTGTGAAGATGACTGTATTGTAGTGTACAAAATGCTTGTAGGGCTTTGGTCTTCTTGCTAAATTGTCAGTGGGACTTGCTGTTGATTAAAGTTCCAGCCCTGTGGTAGGTGTTTCTAAACCATCTGTAGCAGGTAACTTGCTCAGGTTTGCTGTATAACCTCCAAAACCAGTGCTTTACAGTGATTGTAGGGCAGACAAATCTTACATATTGATAATTTTGAAACCTTGAGAGATAGATCAGAACAGACTGTGGAATACACAGTCTTTCTTGCAGATAGAGTGGTTTGGCACTTTGTCTGCAAATCGAGAAGAGGACATGCTCTTGCTGGTTCGATTGATAACAGGGTATATGTTCAAAAGCATGTGCATGTAACTTTATTAATGTCAGCATAAAATGCCTTTTAGCTGAGTCATCTTCAACTGCTAGGCTATATGGATACATAATGCAGATAGAGAAATTAAATGAATTATTAAAATATGACAAAGAAAATTATTGAACTCATTCTGAGAGTGAGGTTATGGGAGTGGCAATAATAGCAGCTTCTGTTTTCATCCTGTTAACCATTTCTTGTTTATGGCACTGTGATTGAGTACAGCATCAGAAATGATAATAATTGTTGTCATTAAGCCATTGGTTATTTAAATGTGATACTAAATTCTTAGTTTTATCAAGCCAGACCATTGTATTTTAATAGACCAGTTCTCCTGCTGCTGAAGTCTTACTCAGGCACCGAAAAGTGTGAGGTGAACAGAAGGCAGTGGTAACTTCCCAGGGATTAGCGCTGCCCTGGGAGTAATACAACAGCTACAGATCATTATATTCTTATTATCCTTCCCTGCTTTGTCATACCTTCCCCTTTTGACAAGACCAGAGGCAAATGGTATTTGCCATGGGGAGCAGATCTGCCAGCCTAGTGACAGCTGACGATCTTCTCAGCTCAAAGTGAGTGGGAGAGAGCAATTCCTAGCAGGCTGCTTAGAGCCAGAATGCAATTCCTTTCTGCTTTTGAGAATTAAAAAAAAAAAAAAAACAACAGAGGAGGCTCAGGAAGTGAGTAGTACATCCTTTACAGTCATACCTGTGTAACGCAGTATGTATTTGTGGCATATTTATTTCAATTTTGTCTGTATTTTCTTTCTGCAATGGCAGGTGAAACTGGTTAACATAAGAAATGATGATATAACAGATGGGAATCCCAAATTGACTTTGGGGTTGATATGGACCATAATTTTGCACTTTCAGGTAAGCCTAGTTTTGCTTGATAGTATATTTTTGGTCAGATTCTTGCATACAGTTACGAACGTGTCTCCTTAGACAGGATTCCATAGATTACATCTCTTCTTAAATGTATATTTGAAGGTTTTGGTAAACTCAACTTCAACATGTTGTTTGTCTGCTAATTTCCTGTTTGTGGAGCGAGAGAAAAATAGCTTCCGTTTTGAACATAATTAAAGACAATAATTGATGTATTCCTTCCAGCTTTTGGACAAACTGGTCTTGTTTTGTTCTATAGACTTCTTTTGATGTGTATTAAAGTATATTGAAAAGTTTTAAATACTTTTTTTTCCATTCAGGATCTGAACTTCTCTGCTGATTCTAGTATTTTAGCAAGCACTGCTTTCAGCTCTTAGAGTAGTTCCTAGCATGTCAGCATTTGTTTCTGGCCCCGGTGATGGTAGTGCGTGTCACACTAGGTGGCACTCTGGTTGTTGTACACTGGCAGGATTGTGTACAGTATAATGCAGCCTTGCAGTGCGTGGTGTTAAATTGCTCCTCAAAATGAGGCTTTCATAATGGCCATGGCTGTAGATGATGTAATTCAGATGACAGATAATTCCCATTTAGTGACTGCAGCATTGTTAACGATAAACTCCGGGCAGTGTTGGCATTTTAAAAGATCAGAAATTTACACTATCACACAGAAAAAGCGTGATTCACTTCAGAATGTTCCACACTGGATTTATGACTGAAAAAAAATTTCTTAAAAAAACCAAACAACAGAAAGGCTGTTAGGATATAATGTGTCTTTCTGCAGATCCTAACGAGGAGCAGAAATATGCACAGGGACAGTGCGGCCCTGGTTTAAACAGGGTGCACAGCTTAGCCCAGCCCAGCACATAGGGTAAAGGAGAAACAACTAGCCACTCATCAGTAGCAAAGACTGAGAGTTCCCTCAGCTCCCCTAATTGTGTCAGTTTTTGCTTCCACGTGGTTATATGGAGAAAAAAAAGACTGGGTTTAAATAGATATAGGTATGACCTACAGAATTAGGAAGTGATTGAATGTTACTGTATTTTAAGAAATAAAAGTTATTAGTAACTTCCTGTTAGTGGAATTTAAGCCTTCCTGTTGTTAGTGGAATTTATAAAATTAAGTATATTTTATCTTTCTGAACTTGATTAATAGGTTTTTGCAGAATTGAAATTGTGTTTCTCTCACTAGCTAAAGCACAGGACATCTAACACAATTTTGGGTGCTTATAAAAAGTAGTGGAAGTTAGTGCTACTATTTAGTTACAGTTGTAAAAATTAATGAAAAGGAAAAACATCTATATAAAAGAGCTAGTTTCAGTGAGCTGGTGTAACAAGGATTTTCTCCTGTAAGGTATCCAGCTCCATATGAAATATGTTGAAGCATTTAAATTGTAGCTGAAACACACTTACTTCACTATATCCTGACCATAATAATTGCCAATTAAATGTCTGCAAGTATAATTCAGATCTTACAGTTCTATCAGAATAGACTATTTCAGTTGGAAGGGACGTACAGGGCCTGACCAATTTAGGACTGATTAAAAGTTAAAGCATGTTGCTATGGGTATTCTCCAAATGCCTCTTAAATACTGACAGGCTTGGGACACCAACCACCTCCCTAGGAAACCTGTTCCAGTGTCTGACCACCCTCTCAGTAAACAAATGTTTTCTGATGTCCAGTCTAAACCTCCCCTGGTACAGTTTTGAATCATTCCCACGCCTCCTGTCATTAGATAACAGGGAGAAGGGCTCAGCATCTCCCTCTCCACTCCTCAGGAAGCTGTACAAAGCAAGGAGGTCACTCCTCAGCCTCCCTTTCTCCAAACTAGGTAAACCCAAAGTTCTCAGCCATTCCTTTTAGAACATACCTTCCAGCTCTTTCACCAGCTCTGCTTTTGGCCTGCACACAGTTCCCAAGGTGAGACCACACCAATTCTGAGTTCAGTGGGATGATTGCCTCTCCTCTGCTGCGTTTGATGTATACCAGAATGGGGTTTACCCTCTTGGTAATCAGTTTTTTAACAAAACGATATCTTTAAAAAATTGTGAAAAAATAATTTTGAGTAGTGGTTCTTCACTAAATATTAAGCTTCATTAGTAAATATGAAATAGCTGAAGAACAGAGTTTTAACAAAAAGTGTTTTCTGTCTTTTTGCTGTTAATGGCTGCAGTGCCTATACTGAGTGCAGAAGGGATTTGTAAAGTGAGGTAAAGGGACACCTTCTGCACTAGTCTGTGCCTGCGTGACATTTACTGCTCTACCACTTCTTTTGAATAATATGGTAATTTAGTGTCAGTCACTGACACCTGTACATGGTCAATTCAGGTTCAGAATGTGAAGTTGAGGAGAATATGTATACTTATACCTCATGGGTTTTTTTGTCTTAGATTTCAAATGAGGTAAAAATCTGAACAGAAAAGTCTAACAGCAGAGTCTTCACAAAGAGATAAAACCTTCATGATAATAACTGTATATTGTTAATGTAGTGTGCATAGATTATCCTGTAGTTATCAGGAAAGTTGTGATCAGATTCAGTTTGACATTAAGACACCTAAGTCCAGGTGCTTATGGGGAGCTATGTTCTTAAGAATTAAGTATCTAAATTGTCCCTATAATCTGATAATCTGAACGTTTAATAATCTGAGATTTAGTCTATACGGTTAGTATAGCCTAGAGAGTGAGTCAATTCAATGGCTATTAGAGTTCCTTCTGTTTGACTAAACATAAACATCTCTGTCGTTGGAGATTTATGAGACAGCCATGCAAGTACGAGAAACATGACGTAGGTCTTGTGGGAAACCCACTCTCATCTGGGAAGAGACAGAGCAGGCAGAATAAACTGCTTCTTAAATGGTGGTAAACATGTTTAGCAGTGGATTTGATGCCTGGAGGGCTAGGTAATATGGTGGGTGGGGTTGGTGGAGCACTTCAATCACTTGAAGTAGATGCCTGGAGCACTTACGGAACTATTCAGTTATCCAGCATAGATGCTTAGTGTGTTCTGACATGGCACATCATATCCAGTACCATATGCAGTGGGAAGCAGGTTCCCGTAGGTCTTGTGCTGTATATGCTATGCCCATGTAGATATCTCAGGTAGTTTTAAGTGTTGCAAATGTTCTAGATGGTTAATTGACTTTCTCCTTATGTCTCTGGTTCAGGGTGTGAAACATTGCTGTTCAATTGGTTGACTGTACTAACAAGATCCCCAGGGCTTTTGATTTAGTTTCCTAAAGACAGGTGGCATTTGAGTGATATCTGAGGTGTGCTGACTATCCAGGTTATGCATGTGGGGTTCTCTGATGAAACACCAGACCTGTAGCTGGAGGCCAGTTGGGATATAGGAGGATATCTCAAAGATTTCCAGAAACCCATGTTAAAGAAACTAAATCCTACCCCTAGAGGATAACATGGTCTGTTCAAAACCTAGTTACCATGTAAACATGAATATGTAGACACCTGTGCTGGGTTGTCTTAACCTGAATTACCCCTTAAATTTTTTTCAGCATTTGCAGAAGTAAATAATTTCTCAATGAGCATAAGAAACTGTTTTCTGTGTGATATTACTGGCTCTGTTGCACATCATTTATGTGTATTCTAATAACACTGCAATCTGGGAAGTAGTCAAGATGCCAGAGGGTTTTTTTGGTTGTTGTTTGTGACTTATTGATTCTCTGAGTCATGGTCCTTGTCTGGAGGATAATATTTCCTCAAAATAGAAAATCCCTCTGATTATTGGAATGAATTTAGGAATGATTTAGGGGAAAGACATGATGAACAAAAATAAAAGATAATACACATTTGAGGATTATGTTTCTCTTCCATCTGAATTATGTCTGAAGACGGTTACAGATTTGTGACTTGGTACCCATGAGTAGATAAATACAAATGTTGTTCTGAGTTACACCACTGACTTCTGCAGTTATACAAGTCCAGAAATTGTACATTCTTCTGTGTCCCAAGTAATCACGTAAAAGATACAGAAAAGGTGGAATGGAAAATCCAGTGGTTTATTGAGTATGTTATTGAGTATGCTGTAAAATAATTTGTCCTGTGGATATTGAAAAACCCCAAGATGTATGCTACTAGGATTTAGGCAAGCTTTCAAAGTATGCATTTAATATGCTTGTAATAATATGTGGCTCAGTTTAAATTCAGATTCATAATGTAGCAAGTGTTGTAAGTTATTTTCCTGGCACTGTAGAACATGCTAAATCTGATTACAGTATTTTGTATAATCGTAAGCTGTATGTATAAATATCCAAATTAATACTCTAAAGGACTCCTTCAACACCAGTATATTTTCACTGATGACATTGGAGATGACCAACTATAAATGGAAGCATTTGTCCTCAGTTTGTAACCACAATTTTAGGAAGATTTAATTTTGGTAAAAGTTGGTGGAAATTCTTTTCAAACCACTGCAAGCTGCAATTACCCATCATTAGCTATCGTGGCAGAATTCCCCACCATTCAGCATGGTATTTTATTTCTCTGCTGAACTCCTAGTTGTCTCTTCTGGAATTCTTCAGCAATTTATTAAAAAAAAAACCAAACTTGCTAACCCTCAAGTAAGAAAACGAATTCTTGGAATTTCTAGGACTCATCTGAAACACAGAAAGGGTGAGAAGCATTAAGAGTCCTTAATGCCATAAAACTGCCAAGGAGCAAATTCCCCTTTTTATAAACCATCTCACTGGATATAAAACCTCTCCTGTTGATGGTTATGACTTGGTAGCTGAAAGCTGAAGAGCTCTTTCAGAGTTTGAGGAGTGGTTGCCAGTACAGCTCAAAAAGCTCCAATTATAATTGTTTGTGCTGGCAAGCCTTTATTTTTTCCCTTGTTCTCCACCCTGTGTACTTTAATTTTCACTTTCTCTTTGGCTTATGTTTATCTCTCTGTCATTCTGCATGTGACCTTAGGGCTGTGCAACAAAATGCTTGCTGGTTATCTGGTATGCTGCTTTAGTACCATGAAATGATACGCC